TACGATGCCTACGATACCTGCCGTCGAGTTCGAACTCAAGCCACCAACCGCGCTGCTCCAAACACCACCGGCGGAAAATCTGCGCTCCTCGGCATTTGGCGTACGAGGCAGGAAAGACCGGATTTGGGTCTCTCAAGGGCACAGGAACCCTTCGCATTCAGGGCTTAGGGCCTAGGCTTTAGGGTTTTAAGGGCTTTGGGTTTCGGGTTTAGGGTCTCAGGCCTACTAGAGATCGAGGCTTGAGGTTGAGGGTTCATGGTTTAAGTACTCGCTCGCTGTATATAGAGCTTATAGTTTGTCAGGACTTTGCGGTTGAGGTTTCGACGTTTGGTCTGAGGGTATTGGGTGCAAGGTTTGGGGGTTAAAACTTCACATGTTACACAAAGGTAGAACCCTCAACTAGCTTGCATCTCTCTCACGAATGGGACAGTGAGTAGTCCACCACAAGGGCTCCGGTTGGGGTTCCATGTTAGTTTCAGGAGAGGGAAACATTTTTCGAAAGAAGAGCACTCGAGAGATACCAAATTGGGGTGTCGGCCGACCCACAAGGCAGCAGGACGAACTGCTAAACAGTGACATCGGGATGGGTTTCGTTCAAGGTCCTTGTTTCGGGTAGCCCACAACCATCACACATTCGCGAACTTCCAGGTCCTTGGCGATGTTCGGAAAGTTCGATCCGGGCTGCTCGTGGATAGGCTCCCCCGGCACTTCCTCCAGAAATTGAACCGCGCCCCTAGGCCTTGAAACACTAAGCCCAAAGCCACCTCAACCTACAAAACCTCGAATCCTTATCCCCTCGAGCCCTCACTGCCATTGCGGGAGTTGGGGACACCCCTTGAAAACGACATAGTTTGTGTAATAATGGGGCCTCATTAGAATTATCATAGGACTATACTACAAGGCCGGGAAGCCTCGTTGCCGCAGGTTGTCATGGCGGTAGCGGAGGATTGGCGGAGAGGCCTGGTAGGGGTGAGGTGCTGCTGGGCCTCCTCCCCCGAAGCACCCATGGACCCCTAAGTAGTTCTTGTTTATTCGGAAGCCTATAAGGTAATCACCAAAAAGGAACTACTTAGGGGCCTATGGGTAAAGAAATCCTATACACCTTCAGAGCGGTTTAGGGTTCAGGGTTTGGGGTTTAGGCTTGAGGTTCTGGGTTTCTCTAGTCTAGGATGTGTGTTTGAGGGCCCCGAGATCTGTGTGGCCCTTTCAGGTTCCGGAAGAGGTGAGCTTTCTTTCCGATAGATGACTTATGTGCTTGGGTTTGAGTCTTCTGTTGCATTTCTTAACGCAAGGCCTGGGTCTTGGTATGAATATGAGAATTGTATTCATACTATTAGTAGTATCTGTACATAAAATATTTGTACATAAATAAGAATTACTGTATTCTTTTTGGAATCCTGATATGCCTCCTCGTGTCAAGATGATGGAAAAAAGTAGTCTGAATTCTCAACAGTTTCTCGGCCACCTCTTGGCGCCTCCTGATGTGGTATCCTGGACTGACGACCGTATGACCATACAGTCAGTTTTAACAGCTGCCCGTAGCACCGTCTGGCAACGGCAACAGTACAAAGCACACACCTTTGCACAACACCCTACCAGGCCAAAAGCAAGAACTAAATCCCTGCAACCCAACTTTACCCCATACCCCTAAGCTCTAAACCCTAAACCCCTAAACTCTAAACCCTAAACCCTAAACCCCCTAAACTCTAAACCCTAAACCCTAAACACCTAAACTCTAAACCCTAAACCCACAAAACCCTAAACCCCCAAGCTCTAAACCCACAAAACCCTGAAACCCAACTTTTCCCCAAAGACCCACGGCTTTGAGCCTTCGGCTACCCCGAGCCCGAAAACCCGAATGCCCCACGGAGAGCTGCCGCCCAAGAGACTAAGGGTTTAGGGGTTTTAGGGGTTTAGGGGTGTAGGGGTGTAGGGGTTTAGGGTTTGGGGATTTTCGGTTTAGGGGTTTTAGGGTTTAGGATGTTAGGGTTTAGGGGTTTAGGGGTTTAGGGGTTTAGGGGTTTAGGGTTAGGGTTCACGATCAGCAGGCTTAGCAAAATGCTACGTCTTCAAAAACCGCTCACCAAAGTCGAGTATCAAAGTGATTCTCGCTTGGAACCCTAAATCCCACACTCTGAACCTTAAACCTTAAACTCTATACCCATGCGTGAGCCCTGAACCCTGAATCCTAACTATACCCTGAGCTCTAGAGGACTGGGGTGGATGCGACGGGTGTAGAGGGTAATGCAGACCGCTGTTTCAGAAGCCCTCTCCTCTTTAAAAGGGATCATGGTAGAGCTCCTAGTATTCGGTCGGTTCCTTTGGGTCATCAATTTTCCCCTAAGCCTATCTGACCCTGAAGCCCTCAAACTAAACCCTAAACCCCTAAACCCTAAACCCCTAAACCCCTAAACCCTAAATCTTTTCACCCCACACCCCTAAACCCCTAATCCCTAAACCCCTAAACCCTAGAAGAGCTCAGCCGCTTGGGCAGGAAAGGCTGCCTGGGCTGCCAGCTCGGACGACGAATGGGAGCTACTGGCCCGCTCCCCATGGGACAAAAGGGGGTTCTAGGGCTCAGGGTCCCCCGAAACCAGGCAGGGTTTAGGGTTATAGGGTTTAGGGTAATAGCGTTTAGGGTTTAGGGTTTAGGGTTGTAGGTTGTTAAGGGCTTTTGGGCTTCAGTAGTCAGGGGTTCCCGTAGCCAATCCACCTCAACTATCGTTCCAACTCAGTGACAGCGTGCTGCCTCAGCTCGCAATAAACTGAAGCAGCACCCGAGCTGAAGCAGCATGCATTTTGCAGCACAAGTTGGCCTAGCACGTTTCTTCCCAAAGCAAAGGCCCCTTCCAACTCATCCCGTCACATTTTGAGTGCTTGCCTCCTCAATGATCCTTCCACCTCCACTCCTGCGTGCTGCTCGTCGCGTGCAGCCCGCGAACTGAAGCAACACCCGAAATTGCGGCAGCACCCAACTCGAGGCGGAACGGCTAGGGAACTCCTTTTCAGGGTTTAGGGTTCAGGGTTTAGGGCCTTATTTTGTTTTGTGCGTGTGTTCTGTCTCTCTCTCTCTCTCTGTGTGTGTGCGTGTGCGTGCGCACGTGCGCGCTTGCTTTGTGAGTTCGGGTTTCGGGGTTAATGGCTTCGGTTTGGTGGACGGTTTCATGCTGATTATCAACTAGCCAGGGAGAGTTTTATGAGTTTCTTGATGAAGTGAATAATTCAGGCATCTTAAGGGTCCATGGACCCACATAGCATCTACACTGGTCAAGTCTTTATGCTGAAGCTGATTAGTTCAGGGCGTAAGCATCTTCTATATGGGTAGATAGACCTTTACCTAGGGTTTAGGGGTTAGTAAGACTCCGGGCTTTGCGTGTAATTGGGCTTGCCAGGGTATGCACGGCCATGGGTAGGATAGCCCTGAAACTCCCCCAGATTCAGATACCCCACCCGAAGTTGCGTGATCAACAGCAAGCAGCATTTCCTTGAGTAGAGCATCCATGCCCATAGCCCAAACCAAACAACCCCTGATATTTGCAACAATGGCGATAGCACGAGTAGTAGTTAGTAACCGTATATGCAACCAAACAAAGATAACGGGAAGTTATACCCTAAACCCTAAAACCCTAAACGCTATATATAAACCCTAAACCCTAAAACGCAAACCCTAAACCCGAAAATCTTGTCTCGCATCATTCATCCGCAACCTGGGCTCTGCCAGCAGGGCGTGCCCTTTAGAGCCATAGGTTTAGGGTTTAGAGTTTAGAGTTTAGAGTTTAGGGTTTAGGGTTTGGGGTTTAGAGTTTAGGGTTTAGGGTTTAGGGTTTAGTGTTGAGTAAAGATGGCGGACAAGACTCTTCTGCATCAAAGCCGCGATACAGTAGCACTTTCCCGGAATTTCCCTGAGGGTCCAACTTCCACAACCAGTCATGGCCTCCAACTACGAGCGTAGTGCCACTACAACCCTAAACACCGAAGCCCCAAACCCTAAACCGTGACCGTAGACGTATACGTTTTCGTAGGTACTTTGGACTCAAAGTTTCGACTTCTTAAGTTTCAATCCGAAAAATGTGCAGAAAGGGGGAAAACAGGAGTCTAAAGTGGCGTAGACTCCAAGACCTTGAAGCCACGCACCTCCCTTAGGGTTGAGGGTTTCGGAGCCCCTGAAAAACCGAGTCATTACAGTAACCACCCCTCCAAACTCAATAAAAAGCAAGAATCAGATAGTAAACTCGCAAATCGAAACCGATTTAACTGCCCCACGTGCACTGACAAGCGATTTCGCGTTTATGAAGCCGCTCCTAACGTTAAACTAAAAAATGGTTACAATTTAACGGTTCTTGGCCAGGTGTGGCCGTCGCTTCACTTCGAGGGTCATATCCTATATTTAACGCTTCCTAACCGTCAAAACCACTGTCATATATGATGGTTATGTTATATGGGCTTTGCATTAGCAGGTGAAGTTCCCCTAACCCACAAATTATAGACAGTATGCTCTGCCAAGTATCAGGTCCAAGTGCAGAGCGTCGCGAAGGGCGACTTTCGCACGTTCGAGGCTCCTTCCTGCGGAATTCTCACACCCAGACGGACTTGGGGTTTACTATAGGGGCCTAAATAATTACCAACACTATTTTTGGGGGGGTTCCTTGTTATAATAGTACAACCCAAAGCCCTATTCTAGCTATTCAGGCCCTTATATTAGTTAGGGCGTCTATGGCCGTTTTGGGTTTCTGCAGAAGCCGAATGCACCGGTGTTCGAGGGGGCAATGAGCTTTGTTTGCAGCTGGCCTCTGCTTGCCGACGTGTAGTGTGAGCACGGAAGACTCGGCATGTGCATCTTTGTTGGGGCCGGGAATGAACTGCAAGTCCTGTTGTGTGAATAAGTGCACGTGGCACCTTTCGGTGTAAAGACCCGGCAACGCAGACCCCGGCTCGAGCTACTGCGGTTCCGCAACTACGAGCTGTTGACATCGCGGATGTCGGCGACACAGGAGCATGCAATGGCGGAAGCGCCCACGAACATACCGATGGAGTCGCATATGCACTGGGAGCACGAAATGCAATTGCCTCAAGCCCTGTTTGTGAATCATCCAAGCGTGCCGGTTCCGGACGACTTTTCGGACACCGACGGAGTCAACCTGGAGTTCGCAGAGTTCATTGCGGTGGATCGGGTTCGCTGCCTCTGTGAAGAAGAGATGTCCAAGCTTTGTGGACAGGTCTTCTCGGATCGTCTTGCATCGTCAGAGTCTTCTGAGAGCGGCCCACCAGTTCAGCGATGCAGCATGAAGTTCGATTCGGGTAGTGCGGGAAGTGATGACGCAGACGGACGTCCTGGCGAGCTTCGCCAGTTCCACCTGTCCTCCTTCACACGCACCGCCCGAGTCAACTTGCAAGGACCGCTGGAGACATCCGACAGCATGCGGGGAAGTCGTTGGTGTGCGCCAAAGGGATCACAAGACACCATCTGGGACTTTGCCAGCGACACCGAAACCTCTCCAAAGCCAGCGGGCTTCTTCGCAGGTGTCTTCGCGATCTTCGGCAAAACTCGCAAGCTTCATGGGCTTCAATCCCACCCCCGAGCTGGACCAAAGAAGGCTCCGCGCATGAAGAATTGGATGTGCTTTGCATGCCGGCCTTGCTCAAAACCTTATGAGCGAAACCCCTAAACCCCAAGCCTTATAAGCCCTAAAACCCTGAAACCCCAAATCCTAAGCCCTAACGGGCTGTACATCGGCTTCGAATCAATATTGCGCCGATACTCGCTTGGGAAGGTCCCCCCAAAGGCATCGGTAAGATGCGCTCCACATGTAACTGCATAAAAGGGCTTGTCACTTTTCGCAATGGTTTGTGAAGGCTTGTTGTGCGTTAGCGCTGCGTAATTGAAGGCGTTGACATCGATGTCACCGATACAGGAGCATGCAATGGCGGGACAGCCCAGGACGATGCCGCTAGGGCCGTATCTGCAGCGGGAGCACAAAATGCAGCCCTGTTTGTGAAGAATCTGAAACGCACCGGTTCCGGACGACTTGTCGGACACCGAGGGAGTCAGCCTGGAGTTTGCGGATTCGGCTCTCCACCGTCACATGTGGGTCCAATGAGTTCAATGGATGTTTATATCCCTAAACCCTAAACCCGAAACCCTATAATGGGCTTTGAAAGATCACACAGCAAGGGTTGGGAAGTTGGAATGCAAGCCTCTGATTCGAGGAACCTGCGTACTCCACGGTTTTTTTGTCCCAGAATTTTTTGCCATCAATGATGTTATGACAGCCTCCGCACGCAAGGGACGCTTTATCATGTCTCATCTTGCTTTCTTTTTATTATCCCACGTCCTACGACTCCAAGCAAAACAGCACAGTAATTACTTTGGCGAGCTCAAGTCAACATCGAGTACCTAGTTTCGGCTATTTGGAGTCCTAGGGTAGCCTCCAAGGAGGCGCACCGCAGGTGAGGAGAAGTCCTAAGTCGCGACAGAGTTCGTGGAGAAGGGTAAAGCCTCCAGTGTCACTCCTGTCAAGGCCAGCAACAGATCAAACGACCCGGAAAAAAACAACCACTCTGCGGTGTGTTTAGCCTTTCGATCTCCGGCACAGATGCACCCCCTGTCAGTGCCGTGGAAGCCTGGAGTTCAGAGGCTCGATGCTTTTAATTTTATTACCGTTCGGGATTCTCCACATTTCAACTGTGTTTAAATTTTCGAACTCGGACAGAGCATCCACGACGTCTGTGCAGGGAGAAAGTATCCAGCATCCTTCCAAGACAGCTTAGAGGTCAAACGAACGGACAAAGCTCACTATGCAGTTTATCCCACCGATCTCCAGCACGGAAACAATCCTGCCAGAGAGTATCAGGAGAAACCTGGTGCTCTCCAGGCTCCATGCTCTTAAGTTCGTTCAGAGATGCGGCGGAGAGAATCTCGACTTTTGTCTATCAACTGCGCTCTTCGAGCGAGCATCTATGAAGTCTGTTGCAGCCACGGTTGTTTGGAGCTTGAGTCTGGGCTTTGCGACGGTACTTAGATGATTCGCGGCCATGTTTGAGAGTGCTGGCCCGATATGCTCGAATGTTTCAACTAATTAGTGCGACTCCATGCATTGCTCGATTTTCGTCACCAGCAAAGAGCCTAGGAAAAACTCGGCATGGACTGGATGCCGGTGCAGAGAGATCACAAAGATGGAGGGGAAGTGCGACCGCCTTTGCCTGCCTGCGTCCCGCTCAACAAACTACCTGTATATTATCAAGCCGACAAGAGGGTATAGGTCCTGACTCTTATCACATATTTGATAGGGTGTAGCCTCTCTGATATTGCGCAATTGCAGCCGCGGGTAGGCATGCAACCTCATATCAGTAGGGTATGACCCGTCACGCACAGGGTATGCATGTCTGTCAAAGTACCTTGCAACTAGAACCACAGGTAAGCGTTGCAGCAACCGTTGCATTCTAGGACCCTTGAGTTGGTTGGTTTGGGGTTTCCTCCGGGTGACGACGCCAGGTTGGCATGGGCCAGAACGTGGGCGAACTGAAGTGCTTCGCTTGCTTTGGGGTTGCCGACGAGACTGCGAAATCCTTGTAGACTTGTAGGATTGTAGGAGAGCTTCGATATTAGGATCCTAGCGTGTCGGGCCCCCTCTCTCAACCAACACACACACACATACGTGCATGTATCCCCAGAATCCCGGGTATATATATATATGTATATAGATGTATGTAAATGTGTGTAAATGTATGTATGTATAATGTATGTATGTATGTATGTATGTATGTATGTATGTATATATGTATGTATGTATGTATGTATGTCTGTATGTATGTATGTATGTATGTCTGCAGGTGTATGCACATAAAAATATGTGTGTATATATATGTAGATGTAGATATAGATGTAGATGTAGATGTATGTACATATATATATATACATGTATGTATGTGTGTATGTATATATATATATATATGTGTGTGTGTGTGCGCGCATTTATATATATATATATATACATACACAAAATCAGATGTTCACACACATGTAATCACATGTGTATATATATATAT